TCGAATGGTCACAAACTACTTCAAGATCGTTTCAGGCTGGACACAAGGAAGAACTTCTTTACTGTCCGAGCCCCCAAGGTCTGGAACAGCCTGCCACCGGAGATGGTTCAAGCGCCTTCATTGAACACCTTCAAGATGAAACTGGATGCTTATCTTGCTGGGATCCTATGACCCCAGCTGACTTCCTGCCCTTTGGGCGGGGGGCTGCACTCGATGATCTTCCGAGGTCCCTTCCAGCCCTGATGTCTATGAAATCTATGAAACCTGTTCTAGTGTTTTATTACCCTCTTAATGAGATAGTTTTTCCTAATATCTAACCTAAACTTCCCCTGATGCAACTTGAAACCATTGCTCCTTGTTCTGCTGTCTGCCACCACTCAGAACAGTCCAGCTTCATCCTCTTTTGAATCCCACTTCAGGTAGTTGAAGGCTGCTAAATCCCCCCTCAGACTTCTCTTCTCCAGACTAACCAAGCCCAGTTCCCTCAGCCTCTCCTCATATGTCATGTACCCCAGCCTCCCAACCATTTTAGTTACCATCCCATGGATTCTCTGCAATTTGTCCACGTCCTTTCTGTAGTGGGGGCCCAAAACTGGACATGGTACTCCATATGTGGCCTCACCAGTGCTGAATAGAGGAGAATAGGCAGACAAATTTCCTTGGGTAAATCCAATATCTTTTATTAGACCAACTAATACAGGGGAGTAATCACTTCCCTCAACCTGCTGGCAACACTCCTACTAATGCAGCTCAGTATGCTGCTAGCCTTCTTCACAAGGGCACACTGTTGGCTTACATTCAGCTTATTGTCCACTATACCCCCAGGTCCTTTTCTGCTGAGCTGCTGCTTAGCCAGTCAGTCCCCAACCTGTACTGGTGCAGGGATGTTCTGTCCTAAATGCAGAACTTTGTACTTCTCCTTATGGAACCTCATGAGACTTCTTTTGGTACAATCTCCAAATTATTGAGGTCTCTCTGAATCCTAACTCTACCCTTCAGTTATCTACTACTCTCCCCAGCT